TGAGGTCCATTCCTAAGGCCTTCAGATCCCACTTGCAGATATCCTTGTATCGCAGCTGTGGTCTCCCTCTGGGGCAATTTCCCTGCACTAATTCTCCATACAGGAGATCTTCTGGAATCTGACCATCATTCATTCTTACGACATGCCCAAGCCAATGTAGATGTTGCTATTTCAGTAATGTATACATGCTAAAAATTCCAGCTCATTCTAGGACTACTCTATTTGGAACGTTGTCCTGCCTTTGGAACTGCAACAGAAGGTCTCTATCTCCAGACTAGATCAGATGGAAAGCTCTTTAATCTCTCTAGACTGAGAGCGAAGACCATAGTCCAGCTGAAATGCATGCGGGACTTCCTCTTTGCCGATGATGCAGCTGTTGTTGCCCACTCTGCTGAAGACCTCCAACAACTCATGAATCATTTTAGCAAGGCCTGACAAGACTTTGGATTAACAATCAGCCTGAAGAAAACACAAGTCATGGGCCAGGCCGTGGACTGAACACGTTCCATATGTGTTGTCTCAGAGGCATTTTTTGGTATCACTGAGAGCAGCAATTTAATTGCTGAAAAATAGGGAATCTATGAAGTTCCATATTTTTCAGCAATTAAATTTATGATTTTAAAATGACTATACTTCTTGTTTTAAAGGAACAGTAATATCAAAACCCTAGAGACAAAGCAGTTGTACAACACAGCAAATGAAATCAACACATCGATGAATGGACTTTAAAACTAAGGTAGATGCGGCAATGAGTCAGAAGCAATGCGGTGGATCAGAAAGTGTTTTAATCTGTTTTTGGAAGTCTACTTCCTCTGTTCAGTAAAAATAAATATAGTACATCTTTAAAACTCAAAACATTCTCCAGGAAGTCTGCTTGGGCAACCACAGATATATTGTGAGTAAAAAACATAGTTCTAGCAGCCAAAGCACCTGTCGCACACAAAGCTTTCATCACAATCAATACTGTGAACCAAACCCCCCAAAATTGCAGGTTTTCTGTTTGCCTAAGATACTCTACACATTTGATTTCTATACATACTGTATGTCATAACTACCGAATCTGGATGACTCACTGCTCCTAGACTTCCTTCCAATTTAGCCAATATATGACCTCCAACTCAAAAGAAAACCTCCAGTACAATCTAAATTAGCTTTTTAAAAAACTTCACATATTCAGGAACAAGTAGGCGTACAGCTGTCAATAAACATATTATCTATTTCTCAAAAAAAACCCAGTCTTGATCAATTTGAAAATCATATGTATATGTATATGCTTATACATACATATGTGTATTATATCTATGTATCATCACCATCAGGTGCTGCCCAGTCAATTCTGACTTTTGGCAACACTTTTCAGAATTTTCCAGACAGACAATACTCAGAAGTGGTTTTCATTCCCTTCTTCTGGGGGTGCCTTGGACAGCTTGCCCAAGGCCACACAGATTCAGGAACTGAACTCCCAGTCTCTGGATCTACAGCCAGATACCTAAACCACTGAGCTATTCAGCCATCTTTTGTAAACATAGCAGGTAAGAAATATATTTAAAAAGAGCACAAAATGCTGACTTACCTGAACAACCCCTGTGCAGGAATCCAAAAAGATGCAGCCTTTAGGTTCCTTTGAGATCTTTTCATCTTTGTAAAAATTCATTATGTATGAGTTGTCTGACAATTGTGTCAGCTGGAAGTAGCGCTTTTTGAATGACTATGTGAAAAGAAAATAGGATTGACTACACTGTAAATTGTTTCTAATGGATGTTACATTCAGAGGAAAGAATTTAAATGAAGCAACAACAAAAAGCATTCTCATGTTTACATTTTTGGTGGATAATGACATCAGCCATCACAGAATAATTGAGCTTGAAGGGGCTTATAAGACCATCAAGTCAATGCAGGAATCCAAATCAAAGCAGATATGACAGATGGTTGTCCAATTTTCTTTTGAATGCTTCCAGCACTGGAGCACTCACCACCTCCTGAGGTAATTGGTTCCATTGTCATAATGCTCTAACAGTTAAGAAGTTTTTCCTGATATAAAAAACTAAGTACACCCTTACTGCTTCCAGAGGAATTAAGAGGCTAAGTAGCAGGCAGGTCCTGCTAACCAAATGCCCCTGAGTAACTGATCATCAGCAAGTGTGACCACCTGTATAAAAGCCAAAGTTTTATCAGTTTGCTGGTCTCAAGCATTCAGGTATCTGTTAACACAATGCTGAGGAAGAAACACATCAATGATTGTAGAGAAGCAATTGTTGCTGCCCATCAATCTGGGAAGGGTTTAAGGGCATTTCAAAACAATGTAAAGTCCATCACTCTACAGTGAGGAAGATTATTCACAGATGGAAGACATTCTTCCCAGAAGTGGATGTCAAAGCAAATTCACCCCAAGGTCAGACCAACCTCTTAATTCCTATGGAAGCAGTAAAAGTGTTCTTAGTTCTTCACACATGGCCTCTCTATTTTGGCTTTATTTTTATAAGATAAATCATTGCACGGTTTCATGTGAGGTTGCACTTACCTAAATTTCAGACCTGTTAAGGACCAGTTGATTTTTATTATGTCCTGATATGTAAAGCCATAGGATTCAAAGAGGAGATTGTGTGTGTGTGTAAGTATATATGTTTCTTACCCGAACTGTAATGCTGTTGTTAACTGTGCTGTTGAAATTGCCTTTATAGAGCCAGCCAGATTTAAAAACTCCTGTCCCTCCTCCTCCACCACCTCCTTTTGAAGATGAGTGGGATGTTGTATCCTGTGTGAAAAACATTGTCAATATTATACTGGCTTTTGTTATAGAGAGTTGAAAACATCAAAGCAGGCTATATTGGGGGGGAATCTTTTTATGAGCACAAATAATCTTTTGATGACTATTCAGTGCAGATCTATTTTTCTTTTGTTTTGTTAGCACAGAATGACAAAAGATGTTTGTTTCCACTATGTTCCTCTTGAAAGAGAACATTGGCCCCCAAAGATAGGACTAAGTCATCATTGGTGGGGAAGGGTATTTTGGTGCAAGGGAGAGAAATGCTTACTTCATCCTTGTCAATATCTTCGTGATCAATTTCAAAGGAATGCGAAGAGAGTTTTTCTGGTCTCCATTCATATCTAAGGAGAAACAAATACATGAAAATTTATCTTCATAATGTATAATGGAGAGGTGCGTATGTGGGTGGGTGTTTTAAAGGCAGTTGTAAATGCAGGCAATCATAAGTCTTCCTTTTCTGTAGTGGATGTTACTGCTTGCCTAATAAGAAATATAGGGTCTGATTCAGTGTGGCATTCTCCTGCTCAAATCTGTTTGGAATAAACACATTTTCACAAACCTTCTGTGGCTTCATAGGGAAAGGAAGTGAACCAGCAGCTGGAATTCAGTTGATTGCACTGTAACATAAAGTTACACCAATGTAACTTTGTGCAACAGATTTGCGCAATTTGATTGCATAATCAGTTGTGTGATTCCCATGGCAGCCAGCTGTGCAATGTGCCAGCAGAACTATCTCTACTGTAGCTACCACAGGCAAGTTGCATCTTCAGAGCTATTCAACAGGATTCTGGCCAAAATAAGTAGAAATTGCAAAGAAGCAGGAAAGCTAAACATCAAAACAAATGTCCCAAAAGTAATAGGTGTTTCTCAGTCCAACAGAGAATCATATATTCCTCTTTCCTAGAGACATTTAAGCACAAGCTGGATGTAAATCTGTCATCAACCCTGTGTTACAGGTCCCCCATATCTGTGATTCAAAAACTGGCTATGCAGAGTCAGAGAGACTATTTCAACATAGTTTCAAAATATAATTTTCCCATTTATTGCAATGATTGTGCATTGCCTCTTAGCCAACTTGACCATCTTATAGGCAGCCTTTCATATGACATAGGTGAAGAAGCAAACCAAGCATTTATGCAAACTAGACTGACCCTTCAGTTTATTATTTGCTACTACATACTGATTATTTATTTATTTAAAATACTTTTACCCCACCTTTCTCCCTAAAAAGGACCAAGGGCAGTTTACATCCTCGAAAGACAATATTTACAGCTGAAAACAATGAGTATACAATGGGCTTCAGGCAAGCCAATGTCTCTTTCTGTTTGTTTGCTTCTGGTTGTTTTATTTGCTCTTTTTCTTCTTCTGTGACTTTTGACCTGAGCAGGCATGTAAACTTTTCTTCCTGACTTTTCCGACCATGCAACCAGCATGGTGAATTTTAGTGTCCCAAGATGGCTGAGACTGCAATTTCTTTTATATATATATTTTCATTAATCTGAATTAAAGTTCCACAACTGAAAGTAAATATGTTTTCCTTTCTCTACTTAAGCTAGTTCTCAGTAAATATGCTTAGAATCATATTATCTTGCTCAATTTACTTTTGCTTTGGTAAATACATGTAAATGTATAATTTTATAATACTGACTGTAAGGGGGAAAGATAGTATTTTTCTCTTATTTGATGTTTGAAAAAGCCCAAGATAGACACCAAAGTATTCTTGAAGGCTTTCACAACCAGGATCTGATGGTTGTTGTAGGTTGTTCGGGCTGTTTTTTGGAACATGGCCAAACAGCTCGAAAAACTTACAACACCCATAGACACTAAACTTGATATTTTTCACATTACAGTGTTAATTCTTAGTACTGTAATGAATAATTAGCCATGAATATTCCAGCACTACTGAAGGAACAATGAAATTTGCCCAAGCTTAACTGCTAACTTTTTCAAAGCTAAAAATGTCACAAAATGTGTTTGTTGTGGTAGCATACATTTGTGTATGTGTGCATATGTGTGTGCGCGCGTGCGTGCATGCACGTCTGTGTGTGAGTGTGTGTGAATGAGAGACTGAGAAAATATAATTTATTAAAACTGTCAAAAATCAACTATATATGGAACATCTAGTATACTAGTGGCTACATACACAGGATGACTCATATAAATATAAATATTAGGAACCAAATACTTCTCTGACATGTTACTTCTCGATTTATAGGACAAAAATGAAAGGGTGAATAGGCCCCTTAAGTCTACATCACTTGCCTACTTCCTTGCAGAAATGTTTTCAGAAAAAAAAGTTCCCTATTACTGAAAATCACAGCAGAGTACAGCTGGCTCCTCCAACAATCTATATGCCCTCCATGAATGTGTATAAAACAATTAACTGGCTAACACAATAAGCCTTGAGGGAAGGAAACAATTGAATCCTTCCATTGCCGTGCTTCAAGGTTTCAATCATGCAAGCAAAATGACATCACCACCCCATTCAGATTCATGTAGTTCTCAGTAACAGGTTTTGATTTGTATTAAAAATGGAATTACTCCTGGTTGTCTAGGATTTAGTTTCAATATATCCACAGATGGTGATAAATATCTTGCTTCAGGGATGGCATTTTCCTCCTGGGTCACAAATCTGTTATTATTTCTATCACAGGGAAGACCATTTCCAAACATGTACACACACAACCTTTCACAACAAGCCTATAGGCTTCTTCATTATGACAGACATTATAGTGGTTCTTTTGCACATGCAACTCTACGCATATAGCACTAGAGCATTACATACTTCACAATAGTAGAGGAAACCCATGACAGCCAAAGGACACAAAGGGCACATCAACCTCCAAGTAATGGTTCAGATGAGAAAGTCAGGAGAGAAAAGGAAGAGGAAGCTATTCAGGATATAAAGAAATATCCTCTGATGAGGGTGTATCAGAGTTTAGATAAGTATTTTTTTAAAAAATAATTCCCAGAACTCCTCACTATCTTCTCTGCGGGCAATATTACGTTTTGGCATTGACTCACAGGGTTGGATAACAGGGAAATATCTCAGTGCAAAATTATTCACTCAAGATCTGCTCTTAAATGTTCAAAGAGAGGGAAGAAGCTTGTAACAACACATAACAACAACAAAACCAACAACCAAAATGTAAAAAAAAAACCACTACTAATCTCAGTTCAATCTGTCTCTGTAATAACACTATATACAGAAATTACAATAAAGAAAGCCCCTTGTAATTGTAGGAAGACAGTGATATAGTTTTTTCATTCATGGAAGCATAAAACTGGTCAGAAAGGACTGGGCTAAAATCTTGCTACGTCTAGTGTTGTTGGGGTCAATTTGGAAGCACACAAAATCATTGTGACAGTAGCCATTCCCATCTCCATGAAGGGAGCTCAGGAGGACGCAAGCAGCTGAATAAATCTACACTAACAATTGAGAAGCAAACCGTTTGTTAAGTTCATGGCTCTTAATTGCTCACTCCAGACAAATATAATACGAATACTATTTGTGCTCTAACTCACTGAGCCATCTAGCCAGATCAATCAAGATCAAGTGATATTCAAACGCTTATAGTAGGGCTAGTTTGCAACAACATTTCTCTTCCAAGCACTGTGAGGACTTCAGCTAAAGTCAGAGGATCCAAGGTGGACTACAAGTGATGTCATGGGACTGCTAGAAAGTCCCATGGCTTTGATTTCATGATCTCTGGCTCTACTACACTACTGGCTGTTGTACTGGTGCAATTTAGCATGAACTATCCATGCACAGAAACAAAATTTCACATACAGGCCATCCATTGTTTTCTTTTCTTTTTTGTTTACTTCTTTGGTACAAAGAAAAGGTGCCAGGTGAAAGTTCTACATTGCCTCTGGTACTAATATTCCAGGAAGTTTTTTAACTGAAGAAACCACACTTCCCAACAATTAATTAACAATGAATGAACAACGAATGAACAGAAAAGGGTGCATTCACTGTCTGTTCAAGCCATTAACATGCAGTATGCTCTATATAAGATGCTTAGCTGTATACACACTGGCTTCCTAATTTATGCCAATGTTAGAGAAACATTACATCCACCCACCCTAACATTTGGGGGCTTTATTTGCCATTCATCCAAAGATATTTTTCCCCCTGTGAGCTGGATGATAGGAATAACCCCTGGCCACACATCAGCCCATTCTGTTCTGCATGAACTATATAATTCTGCTCATGATTCATCAAAGATTGCTGTCACTCAACTCCCACTCATTCCATTGTAGATTAATTGAAATGATATGAATTCATTAAAACTAAAATGAATAATAGTTGTAACAGAAAATGCTCTGCATATTGTGCCCTTGAATGACTTAGCCAGAGGTTGGAGGCAGTTCTGTTGTCTAACACAGACATTAAGACATAAGAGTGCTCTTTAAAAAGAAAACTACAAATGCTTCTTACCGTGGTAGATCTCTAAAACTTCCTGAGTACTGCTCATATTTGTAGTCTACAATATGCCATTGGGAACTGTAATATCTACATGCCTAAAATAAAGAAGAAAAAACTGGTTAGGTTAATTAGATTCAGTAGAAGAAACAACTGCAATCCAACATGAATGAACTATGCACAGAAACAATATTTTGCATGCCGGTGATCACTTTCTGGATGCAGTCCCAGATGTGCAAATGGTGTGTGTGTGTGCATGTTTGTGAGTGTAACAAATACACCAAGCCAGAGATGAGGAACATTGCTTTTTCAGGCCACAACTCTCAGGATAGCCATCCTGGCTCAAGTAACTTGGGGACTGTTGTCCAAACATGTAACTTCTTCTGTCTGTCTGTCTGTCTGTCTGTCTGTCTATCTATCTATCTATCTATCTATCTATCTAGCTATCTATCTATCTATCTATCTATCTATCTAGCTATCTATCTATCTATCTATCTATCTATCTAGCTATCTATCTATCTATCTATCTATCTATCTAGCTATCTATCTATCTATCTATCTATCTATCTGATTTCTACCCTGCCCCTCTAGACTGTGTAGTACATGCAATGGATTTTTCTAGCTACCATGCATCTTCAAATATTCAGTACAACAAATCAGCTGTAATCCACATATGTAGTCTCTGTGCACATTAATCTCTTGTGCTGCCCCTCATCATCTTAACAGGTGATTAACTCCACTGGAGATAATTGCTCCAGGCTCTGCTTATGCTTAGATGGTTGCAGATGAGCAACTTCTACAGGTGTGTTTGAGCGGAGTTAATGTGTATGAATGTCTATGCATGAGTGTGTGAACCAAGTGGCATATGAACTTTCAGATCAGAGCTCAACACTCATCACTGCATGTGGGCTGCCTCACTGGAGGAAAAATATGAACCAATTTCCTGCTCTAGCCGTGTCTTCAGTGCAAGCTAATGGCCGTGCATGAAAATCCTGGCAAAATAAAGGACCATCTACTGGCTAGCAGAGCTGTCGCTACTAATTCCAGCATTTGAGACAAATGTCATTGGCTCCCACTCACGCCACTCTGAGACATGGATGCAGGGCCCTCAGCAAAAAGGAGAAGGAGCATGTGGTACATTTATAAAAAAAGGAAAGGCTTATAATTTCTAAAAAGAAAAGAAAGGGAATATGGCTGGGATACAGTGGTGTTTATCTTCCTAAGACCAGTAGGTTTTATAATTTCTAAAAAGAAAAGAAAGGGAATGTGGCTGGGATGCAGTGGTGTTTACCTTCCTAAGACTAAAATCTCTAGATTTTAGTGCTATCTAAATTTTGGAGTGCTGTGGTAAAGCCCCAGTCGTTCGATCCTAGTTAAGCGTTGAGGTTTTTTTTACAGTGGACCCTCGACTTACAGACGGCTCGACTTACAGACTTTTCGAGTAACAGACTTCTCTGGCCGCAAAATTTAGGTTCGACTTGCAGCCGGAGAATCAACCTACAGACCAGGAAAAAACCAAAATGGAACAAAAATGGCCAGTTACGGATTAATCGGTTTCCAATGCATTGTAGGTCAATGGAGACTCGACCTACAGACTTTCCGACCTGCAGCCACTGTTCCAATACGGATTAATTCCGTAAGTAGAGGGTCCACTGTACTCACAGAAGTGTGAGTAAATGGGTACAGAATGACGACTGTAGAGAGAGGCAGGTAAGCAGCCACAAAACAACAATCCTTAGCGTATGCGTATTTTCTGAAAAGCAAGCTCCATCTCCCTATTATTGTATTATAACTGCCGTTTACTTTCTTAAGAATGTAATTCCATTGCCCTTGCAAATTCAAGACTTTTAAGCATTCCTGCTTTAGCTACATTTCGCAACAATATCCACCTTGCTTTCCAAATACTGTAATCCTTACAGTTCACTGAAGGGAGTGACAAAACTACAATTCTATTAATGGTTGTGGAATTAATCCATATTGGAACGGTGGCTGTAAGTTGAAAAGTTTGTAGGTCGAATCTCCATTGACCTACAATGCAGTGAAAACCGATTCATCCCATAACTGGCAGTTTTTATTCTATTTTTGTTCCATTTTGATTTTTTTCTGGTCTGTAGGTCGATTCTCCGGCTGCAAGTCGAATCTAAATTTTGCGGCCAGAGAAGTCTGTAACTCAAAAAGTCTGTAAGTCGAGCCGTCTGTAAGTCGAGGGTCCACTGTACAATTCTATTAATGGTTGTGCATAACACTATCAATAAATGTATTTAATCATCATCATATGTGGTGCCAAGCCAATTCTGACTAGTGGCAACCCTATTCAGTGTATTCTAGAATCTAGACAGAGCATACTCAGAAGTGATTTACCATTCCCTTCTTTTGAGGGCATCCTGGGATTGCGCAGCTTGCCTAAGGCCACACAAGCTGGCTTTTTTCCCTGGAGGCATGGTGGGGAATCACACTTCCAACATCTGGCTCCACAGTCAGATCCAGCCAGCTAAATGAACATATATTTTTCTCTGAAGCAGAACTGCCCAGTTATCTCAAACCTCTATAGTTTATATTTTCCAGATGATGACTAGGTTTTGTTGCTCATTCTGAAATCTCTAATAGGATGAAGCATCTTTCATTCACTTAAAAAAAAACCTTTACATCCCACATATCGTCACAAGGAGATACCCACAGCTCATTACAGAAGCCACAGAGGAAGCTTTCTCCCTGTCAAAGAGTGTGAAACATCCATGCCATAAATTCTGCATATTAATTCCATGAAATATGTACAACACTGATAATTTCAGACTATTTTGTTATTGCAGTACAGTTCAATTCCTTTCAAATAATTCTGGTTAATGAAGGGAAACATTGATGAATAACCCATCAATACCTAAATCACTAGGAGAATAAGTATTAAATCAAATCCTGTCCGTTATGGTCAAAGCTAGATGGCAAGTATGAATAAATGTGTATCGTGTTAAAAAGCAATATACTACTCTCTAACCATAAGTGTGCTTAGCATTACAGCAAGTTGATTTATGTGCTACGATGCCATTTCTCTTGGCTCACTGCCTGATGTCTCTGCCACAAGAACATAGCAACCGAATTAATTCTAAGACTGTAACTAGGAAATTACAACAACAAGAGCGGACCACATAGGTTGTTTCTTCAAATGAAATCATGCTCTCACTCTGTTGCAAATAATCTGAAAAGCAAGACTTAAAATTGTTAATCTATGCCCAAAAGCAGAGCTTGGAAAAGTTACTTTTCTGATCTAAAGCTTTTGGAATCTTTTGGCCAGCATGGTCTCTGGGTGTATTGCCTAATGGATTCTGGGAGTTGTAGTAAAAAAAAAAGAGAATAAAATTTCTTAAGGTAAAGGTAAAGGTTCCCCTTGACAATTTTTTTCTCCAGTCGTGTTCGACTCTCGGGGGCGGTGCTCATCCCCGTTTCCAAGCCATAGAGCTAGCGTTTTGTCCGAAGACAATCTTCCGTGGTCACATGGTCAGTGCGACTTAGACACGGAACGCTGTTACCTTCCCACCGAGGTGGTCCCTATTTATCTACTTGCATTTGTATGCTTTCGAACCGCTAGGTTGGTGGGAGCTGGCACAAGTGACGGGTGCTCACTCCGTTGTGTGGATTCAATCTTACGACTGCTTGGTCTTCTGACCCTGCAGCACAGGCTTCTGCGGTTTAGCCCACAGCGCCACCACAAATTTCTTACTTTCGTGCAAAAGCACATTCTTAATTCAAAGTAGCTATCATGGTATTCAGATCAAATTTCCAAAACAGCTCAAGGCATTCTGATAATATTTTGCTTCAGAAGATGATCAGTCTCCTGTATGTTGATTAACAAGAGGATAAACACTCTGTTTCTGTAGTTTACATTTTTCTAAAGTACGCTCAGTGAATATCTGGTCCATGATAAGTGTTTCTTTGATTTACAGCATTGTGAATACATGACCATGTAAACCAGTGAAAAGCTCATTCAGGGAGTTGGACTGGAGACAGAACAGATCCCACATTTCATTCATTCTCTGCCTGGCACATTGACAAGAAGTACAGTCTTAAAGAAATAGCTAGTTTGCTTGTTTTCCTCTGGTATGTCTATTGCGAGTCATTATATCTAAAATAATGTGGTGGTGGCAGCCACAGGGGAGGGCCAACAGAGTTAATTCTCAATAGTACACCCTACCCACTTATGACTCTGAAAATAGATGAAGAGTTGACACACAACTAAACACAGTTCTTTGACCTGTGAATTAGTTGAAAGAGCTGCATTCATATAATGCAAACAAGGCAAAAGATATATTCAAATAATATTAACAGTTTGGCTTAAACTTGAAAGGCATGTTATAAGAAGAATTAACTGAATAAATTCTGCCATAAATGTACACATGCTAATAGTGTATGACCAGATAAGAGGGGTATAAATAAAATAAATGAATAAATAAATAAATAGAGCCTTTGGAAGTATTGAAAAATGTTCCAGGATAATACCTGTTGCTAGTCAACCTGCTTATAAACTAGGCAAAGCACTATAAATCGTATTAATGGGGAAAAGGTTATTTTCTGAAATTGCTCAGACCTCTCATGCACATTACAGTGGGGTCTTGACTTACGAACGGCCCGAGTTACGAACATTTTGACTTACGAACCGCTCTCATAGCAAAATATTTACTTGACTTACGTACTTAGATTTGAATTACGAACTGAAAAAAACTGGAAAAAAACCATGTGGGAGGCAGGGAAAGTGCAAAATTTGAACTTTCAGTTAACTGTTGGCCAGTGAAAAGGGTGCCTGTCTGCTTCCTCACTCCTCCCAGCGTTTAGAGAGTGGATTGGGAGACAGTCTTCAGACTGCCTGGTACTGTCCTGCCTGGACTGTATTTTCCCTGCCTTCCCTGAACTTTTCTTGACCTAAGAAAAAAAAAGAAACAAAATATCCCCCTCTAGTGGTCGAAGGCGGAACAGCAGCTTCCCATTAGTTTCTATGGACGGAAAAGAGCAGATACGGATCAAATGGTTTTCAATGCATTCCTATGGGAAATGCAGATTTGACCTGCGAACTTTTTGACTTGAGAACCACCTTCCAATATGGATTAAG